TCCCAACACTACTCCCTCTTCCACACAACCCCATCCTTCTATCCTTCTGCTACCCCCACATCTACAAACATCTTGAATACTCTGCTTAGCCCAACCAAATGGGATTGATTTTTCATAACCCCCCCCCCCCCACACACACACACACAGCCCCTTACTCTTGACAACAATCTCCTTTCCCACCAATGCCTCCCAAAACAAGTAGGTTTGAAATTAAACGCTACACATAATTAGGAAATTTTATTATTATGTACATTATGATGGATGTCATTAGAATATGGCATTATGCATATTTTTTTTTGGAACTCAAACTTTGTTCAGGTGGTCAAGGAAGATAATAGTATCAGCCTGGAAGTATAATACTGACCTAATACTATGCTGGACCACCTTCACATTTTTCAAGGACACACAAAAAGTACAGAAAAATAGATAAAAATGAAAAAGCTTCAAATTCAAAAACTAGATACAATAAATATTTCAAATAAAGCATTCAAAACAAACTGTTGTTATTCATGTAAAAAGAAGTTTTGGAGTCTGGTTCACAAAGATGAAGAGAAAAGAGAAACGAGAATGGGAGAAACACATACAAGAGAATAAAGACTAAACAATCCTTGCCCAGTTATGGACAAATTATCATCAGGGGCAAGATTTTAAAGTTATAATCACATAACTGAATCAAACAAAATAAAATCAAAATACAATATTTCAGAATAAAAAGACTGGCATAATCAATTCACCCCACAGAACAATGGGTGATACTCCACCACCTTGGGTAAGTAACTTGGGTTTTGTTTGGGAAATAAAGCTTCAATCACTTTGTAAATAAAATAGAAAAGCCTAATATAACAAGCTGTGAAAACAATTTTTTTTCTTTTTTTCGTTTTTGCTCTACACCTGGCCAAACTTTACACAAAAAAACCCACAGGAGGTAATTTTCTGCCAGCTGGTCACAAGGCACACTACAGAACAGCACCAGACTGGGCTCACAGACTATTTTAACCAACTGCTAAAGAAGAATTGTCACTAATGAAAGACTGCTTAGCTGTACCTAAATCTTTACTCTTTTTTTTTTTTTTTTTTTTTTTTTTTTTTTTTTTTTTTTTTTTTTTTTTTTTTTTTTTTTTTTTTTTTTTTTTTTTTTTTTTTTTTTTTTTTTTTTTTTTTTTTTTTTTTTTTTTTTTTTTTTTTTTTTTTTTTTTTTTTTTTTTTTTTTTTTTTTTTTTTTTTTTTTTTTTTTTTTTTTTTTTTTTTTTTTTTTTTTTTTTTTTTTTTTTTTTTTTTTTTTTTTTTTTTTTTTTTTTTTTTTTTTTTTTTTTTTTTTTTTTTTTTTTTTTTTTTTTTTTTTTTTTTTTTTTTTTTTTTTTTTTTTTTTTTTTTTTTTTTTTTTTTTTTTTTTTTTTTTTTTTTTTTTTTTTTTTTTTTTTTTTTTTTTTTTTTTTTTTTTTTTTTTTTTTTTTTTTTTTTTTTTTTTTTTTTTTTTTTTTTTTTTTTTTTTTTTTTTTTTTTTTTTTTTTTTTTTTTTTTTTTTTTTCTTTTTTTCGTTTTTGCTCTACACCTGGCCAAACTTTACAACCAACTGCTAAAGAAGAATTGTCACTAATGAAAGACTGCTTAGCTGTACCTAAATCTTTACTCTTTTTTTTGTATCATTAAGCTCTTATTGCTTTGCTATTTCTGAATTAAGCAAGTGCCTACTTGGTTGACAACTGGAATTAACCAGGTGGAAAAGGTCTGGTACATAAAAGAACAGGAATGTCTCCCAGTGCTTTCTCCAGGCTTGATTTTTTTTTGTGCTGACTTTGGCACTTAATATTAAAAGACCTCACATGTGACTAGAGATGCAATAATTTTGCTATCTTACATACAGTTGGTAATTCCTGTATTGCAGAGAAGAGAAAAATATATAAATCTTCTACATGGGAAACATTTTAAATATATCTGATATATTTTACAATACAAGTGTAAAAAATAATTAACAATATTACTAATCAACAAAAGACTTTATCCATGACCAATTATGTGAATATGAAATACATAAATATATATAACATATATACCACATATATATCTATATATATTTATAAACTTGGACATGACCTAACTGTATACAAACTACAAATAATGTAAGATAATTGGTAATTATAATAAATCACACAGTAATAATTTCCAGCGATGGAACCAAGAACTTCTTTTCAAAACTAAAGCTCTTTCACAGTTGTGCAGATAACAGGAGTCACCTACTTATATTTCCTACGAACAAGCTCATCATGGACTGAACTTTGGCCAATTCAATTACTTGTTCTGAAGTCTTGGAAAATGCAATTCTACTTTGGAAATATGGTAACTATATTTTCTCTATTGGACCCATTGCTAGGTGTATAATTAATAATAGTTTACATGTAATAATTTGAAAAAAAAAAAGAAAAAAAAAATCATACTACTACTAAATATTTGTTTAGTTACTTGTTGGTAGCATATGACATCACAAGGTAAAGTTATTACAAGGGATATAAAAAGTGGAAAAGAAAAATACTTCATAAAATAACACTATTCTTAGCTGGTAATATGCTTAGATGCAACTATATAGAATACCCAAAGAAGAGTTCCTCTACTCCATAATCATTATCAAAAGAATATGCTGTACCTTGATCTTTGTCTACATCAACACCTAGGAATCACCACAAACGATGTTAAACGAGCAATTTTACCAAGTCACAGCAAGTCAGACACAGGCATCCAGACAGTCATCACTTCTATAGTTGCAGGAGCCAGACACCAGCACCTACTTCTTGATACAAGTAGTAGATAACTCAGCAGGAGCCAAGACAGTAGATTATCACACCCAAATAATGTGGTGAAGGAATTCAGTTATATCAAAGCAGACAAACTCAAGCACCAAGAGAACTCAATAGCCAAAGTTTGATGTCCATTTAATGCTAGAGAATAATCTTTGAGGTGTAACACAACCAGTAACATGAAAGACCACTGTCTGCATTCGTAGCATCTTGATGGAAGATCAACACTTAGATCCCAGATTGTCGTTTTTTGGACCTTCAATAGCGTTCTACAGATTGGTGGAATCTGGAGCAGCTTCTTCTTCCTCGCTGGGTGTGGAGGCAGCAGACTCTGATGGTGGTGGCCAGCTGAACTTGTTGCTTTTCACACCTGCAACTGTAAATTAAAGTGCTTGTTATAAGACTTCATCATCCACATATGATTTTAATTTGCATTACATACAGCACCCCAGTAGTTTACAATTTGGATCAAGTGATATAATGGGAAATATAAAAGGAGTAAGGATGAAAAGGTGGAAAATTAAGTATTCACTCAATACACATATAAAAATTCACTATGTTGTACTTTATCCTCTGGTATTTAAATATATTCATCCATATGGACCATTATAAGCAAAAAGAAATTTGTAGGATGTGCACTGACTTTTATACCAAGTAAAATAACAAGTTTACAGCAATAAAATTATCATACTCTAATATTCTTACACTGTCCAGTCATGAAAATTGCTAGCATCACTAAAATTTTAATAATGCCAATAAATTCATGGAGCTCTGGAATTTCTGCTGATACACTGGTGTATTGTGAATAGAAGCAGTAGAACAAATCAATGAGAAAAGTTTTACAGTGAATAATGATGACCATGATGATGGTGATTGTTTATTGGAAATGCTCACTATCTTTGTGCGTCAGCTATGGTAATGGCAAATTGAAACTAAAAATGGTAGCATATGACATCACAAGGTAAAGTTATTACAAGGGATATAAAAAGTGGAAAAGAAAAATACTTCATAAAATAACACTATTCTTAGCTGGTAATATGCTTAGATGCAACTATATAGAATACCCAAAGAAGAGTTCCTCTACTCCATAATCATTATCAAAAGAATATGCTGTACCTTGATCTTTGTCTACATCAACACCTAGGAATCACCACAAACGATGTTAAACGAGCAATTTTACCAAGTCACAGCAAGTCAGACACAGGCATCCAGACAGTCATCACTTCTATAGTTGCAGGAGCCAGACACCAGCACCTACTTCTTGATACAAGTAGTAGATAACTCAGCAGGAGCCAAGACAGTAGATTATCACACCCAAATAATGTGGTGAAGGAATTCAGTTATATCAAAGCAGACAAACTCAAGCACCAAGAGAACTCAATAGCCAAAGTTTGATGTCCATTTAATGCTAGAGAATAATCTTTGAGGTGTAACACAACCAGTAACATGAAAGACCACTGTCTGCATTCGTAGCATCTTGATGGAAGATCAACACTTAGATCCCAGATTGTCGTTTTTTGGACCTTCAATAGCGTTCTACAGATTGGTGGAATCTGGAGCAGCTTCTTCTTCCTCGCTGGGTGTGGAGGCAGCAGACTCTGATGGTGGTGGCCAGCTGAACTTGTTGCTTTTCACACCTGCAACTGTAAATTAAAGTGCTTGTTATAAGACTTCATCATCCACATATGATTTTAATTTGCATTACATACAGCACCCCAGTAGTTTACAATTTGGATCAAGTGATATAATGGGAAATATAAAAGGAGTAAGGATGAAAAGGTGGAAAATTAAGTATTCACTCAATACACATATAAAAATTCACTATGTTGTACTTTATCCTCTGGTATTTAAATATATTCATCCATATGGACCATTATAAGCAAAAAGAAATTTGTAGGATGTGCACTGACTTTTATACCAAGTAAAATAACAAGTTTACAGCAATAAAATTATCATACTCTAATATTCTTACACTGTCCAGTCATGAAAATTGCTAGCATCACTAAAATTTTAATAATGCCAATAAATTCATGGAGCTCTGGAATTTCTGCTGATACACTGGTGTATTGTGAATAGAAGCAGTAGAACAAATCAATGAGAAAAGTTTTACAGTGAATAATGATGACCATGATGATGGTGATTGTTTATTGGAAATGCTCACTATCTTTGTGCGTCAGCTATGGTAATGGCAAATTGAAACTAAAAACCATTCACTATCAGCCATTACATTTACCACATAAATATTCACTGTGAATTTCTTAAGTATACTGACTATACTAAACTATGTTATAATGTTCTGTGGATAGACAAAACAAGTGAACTTTTACTAAGGTCATCTATGTCTTCCAAGTTATAAAAGGAATTATAAAAGTTGCAAAGGAATTATCTTAAAACAACAAAAAAAATCACAAAACATTATATCAACAAAATACCAATATAAACCTTGATATTTTAAAGGATATTCTGTTCAATGCTAATGATCTCCAATAACTGAGCATGAAACATCAAATCCATTCAATATACACAGGCAAGTATACTACAAGACAGCAAACTGCAAGACCTCTGTTATCCTAATCTTCTTGCCTTAATTAGTGCAATACTTGAACGCCAGGAACAAGTGAAACAATGTACTTCAAATTTAATGTGAAAAGTAACTACACAGCAGTAGTACAGAATGGAAAAAAATACTGCACTACTGCGGTATTTCAATAACTTGTGAGTAACTGAAAAATTTTGATGAAATATAAATTGAATTAAACTTGAATATCAAGCTTAAAAGTCCAGGGACCTATAATTCAGTGAAAATAAAATGATAATTACTTCAATCTAAGGCATAAATAATCAATAATATCATAAAAACACAAGGATATTGTACACAATCACAGGGTAACAAGTAAATCAAGTGAAAAAAAAAAGAATCAATCAAATTAATTAAAAACGCTAATCATATCAAAAATACAATACTCTATGAAAAATAGTTATACCAAAAGCAAAAAAAAAAAAAGAAAGGATAATAAACAACCCAAAAAATATAAAAGCCCTATCTAAGCAAAAGGAAAAAAAAAAATTAACATCCACTAAGCAGCCTCTAGGATTTCCCGTCTCCACACCTGATGAACTCTGAGAGACAAAGGTGTCCTGGTGGTCAGAAGATAGAGCAGGTGGCCGGGGCAGGATCTGTGGCCGTTTATCTGGCTTTGGGGGCTTCACTGGCTTCTGAACTCCAAACCCACTACCTGCACCTCTTACTGTGCTCCAAGGTGGAATAAGTTTATGTAATAAGACACATAAGCAATTTTTACTTCACAATTACATTTTTTTTTTTTTTTATCAATGTTTAAGATAAATGGCATACATTATAATCATCATAGTGGTTATAACAAAATATCCCTATCCCTCTTCTTTGTTCAATTTTTCTCAAAAACAAATTCAGAACTTCTAGTCCATTCCAAATAAGTGTACATACATGTATGTTTTTTCATTATACAGAGCATTATATATACAAAGCAAAGTAGAGCCTTGTATTTGGCGCATCCACCAACCATGGGTCTGAATAACTTGTATCAAAGTAAAATGAAATGTTATTCCCTGCCATCACAGTTCTCACACTAGAGTTAAGTAAAGGGAGCTGTATTTACAATTTTTACCTAATTCTACTGCTGATATTATTAGCATAGACAGTATTCATAATTACTATTACATGACACAATGTTGCCTGTATACACACAATTTTTCATCAAATTCTAAACTACAATTTTTTTATTTTCCTAGTAATTATGAATTATTATATACTAAACATTTTTAAAGAATGTACTCTTCTATTAAGCAAACTGTAAACAATTCTTAAAAATATTCATACACAACAAAAAAAATGTGAAAAAATAGATTAGGAACCTTATTCCTCACAGAACATTAACCCACTGGCCTGAAGTACATACCCTATACACTATTGTGTTTTGTGAATTTTGTTTACACACAGAAGGTACTCTATGCACTTAGTCACCTGAGAGTTAATTAGTAGGAGTAGCTGACATAACTTCTTTACCCTATTCCTCAAATTTCCATATATATTTTTAACATTATTATATTATCAATAACACTGGTAGCAATTTAAGAATTACTTTTGAAAATCAAAGAAAAGGGTAAACAGGTACAATCTGGTAGGCCTAGCACTTAAATCATTGGTGAGTAAGCACTCCTGGAGCCATATATATATAAACAAAATCACAGTTAACTATATCACAGTGGTTAGAGTATGTGCCTACCTCCTTTGTGTCAACAGATTAAGCACCATGTTTATTTATATGTTGACAAACCAATATATTGCCCCAAGGTTCCCATTAAACCAAAACTATCTTTGTTGAAGCAGAAGCTATTCAGTTGAATTCTCCAGTTCTCCAGTTAGTAAGATTTTACCTTCACTCCATATCCATTTACTACTTGTTATTGTAGGCTGTTAAAGTGACATGTTACAAATGATAATGCTGTTTTCTGCAAACACCTAGGTACACTCCAGTATGAAGGATCACTGATGAGACGGCATACAGGAAATGCCAAATCAAAATATCCTTCTATCATCACCTTTGCCCCTTACCTGACTAGTACATTACATGACATCAAGTAAAGATCTATATTTTCTCCAGCTGGCTACTGTTAGAGCTCTGCCTATAATTAATCTAAGTATTTCAGTTGAAAAAGTAAGATACATAATATATACAATTACATATCATGAACATATTTCTGTATTTTCTATGAAAGAAAAAATTAAACTCAAGGATATTTACACAGACACTCAAACTTTTATTAAGTAAATTTGCAAAGCACAATAACACAGACAGAAACACAGCAACAGTAAAAAAAGAAAAAAAAAATGTATTAATGACTTTGATAATGTGTTGGTATTTTTGTTATGTCAGTATATGAAGAAGTTTTTGTTTTAATTTTATCTATCTCCTGTATTAACCCAGCTGAGGTTGAGGTGGGCCTAAAAGTCATACCCTCCTTTGCACCTTTATTGGTAGAGCAACTTCTAAATACCTGGGAGCACTATTCTGCCTAGCAGCTGAATGAATTTTTGTAACCATGAGAAGGGTGAGGGAGTTACTTTGAGCTCCTCTGCATGCATAAGCGAGGTTGGGTCTGTGAAACCCATGTCTACCAAAAGTGTATGGTATAACAGGTCTGTCAGACCAACGTCTAAAGAATGTGTTGCATTTAGTGGTTTGTGAAACCCATAGGAGGCCAGACATGATCACCTATTGTAACAAAAGAAATGGCAGATTATACACATTTGATCAAATGTGTACAACATGTCATAGAGCAGCATGACAAAAAATGGCTTCTTGCTGTTTTCTCTATTCTCTGACTTTATCATTTCAAGACAACTCCCTGGACAGGCAAGAAGAGGCACTAGATCTGTGCAAGGCCAGGAAGACAGACCACTTGTGTACCAAATGCCTTATCCCTTATCAAGCTTTTGGGACCAGTCATTCAGATTTATTACTATTTTCTGAAGGGAGTCTATAGTATGTAAAAATTTACTTATAATAAAAAAGGAAAAAAAAAAGTAAAATGAGAGAGAAAAAAAATTACCTGTATAGGGTGAAAAACTGAATACCCACTATTATTTTCTGAATAAAGGAAACAGAAGCATACTTCCCTACCATTCTAAAATTGGGTCTGACAGACCAAGGTCCACCTGAGAAGCAACCAGCACCAAACTTGCCTGAATAGGTTTAATCTTATTATTGGAAAGGGTGAATGTCTACATTTCCTTGACATCAAAATTACTTGATCAGAGAAATAGAGAAAGAATTTCTTTCCCTCTTTGGATGATATTTTGGATTTGTTACGTAGTAACAAATGTTCTGCACCCAAAGGAACAAATTTATGGTCACCATCACACCTAGCCATCTAAAGGCATCAATTTTTCATCTTTCACCATGAGCAGAATGAGAGAGGGAGGACAATATGTAGGAGGATATATACAAGTGAGACACAGGAGAGTGGGAGGTAGAGAAGGGAAGGGAAGGGAAGGAGGGGAAGGGAAGGAGGGGAAGGGAGAGAGAGGGAGAGAGAGAGGGAGAGAGAGAGGGAGAGAGGGAGAGAGAGGGGTGAGAGAGAGAGAGAGAGAGAGAGAGAGAGAGAGAGAGAGAGAGAGAGAGAGAGAGAGAGAGAGAGAGAGAGAGAGAGAGAGAGAGAGAGAGAGAGGGGGGGGGGGGGAGATGGGGTGAGACAGAAAAGAGAGAAGGTAGAGAGAGATGGGGTGAGACAGAAAAGAGAGAAGGGAGAGAGAGATGGGGTGAGACAGAAAAGAGAGAAGGGAGAGAGAGATGGAGTGAGACAGCAAAGAGATAAGGGAGAAAGAGAGGGAGAGATTATTTTGTTTGAACAGTAGCAACCCCAAAGCACCAGCAATGCATGCTTAAATCTGAAGGGTGAGTATACTAACAGTGGCCTTCCTCCCTTTCAAATAAATAACAATTTCCATCCCAGAATAAATAAATAATTTTGAAAATAAAAATGTTGCAGCATTATATTTACTAAACATATTTAAACAATACTAGTTCAATTCTAATACATTTAGTCAGACAGCTGCAATTACAAAGTGTTATCTTTATATAATGCGGATAACCATAAACATTATAAAGGCCTGTATCCAATATCAAACAATGACAACATACAGGACAAGAATATTACCTTGGTAGCTGCAAATTAAAAAAAAAAAAGTGTTGGTAATCAATCTCCACAGTAAAGACAGACAACAGTAATGTTAAATCATATAGCTCATAGCTATACTAACCTTGAGCAGGGCTGGTAACTCCTACTTGGACGATGGACACCTGCTGCTTGTCTACGGAGTACATATGGGCTTTCTCAAGAACTGCGCCTGCACCTGTAATGTCTGAATGTGTTCCTCCACCATCATCCCTAGCACAGTCATCATTAGTGTTATGACTGGTGTTGTCCCCATCCTCCACTGCCATCACCAGTGTTCCTGATGCTTCCTGCTGTGCTGCGGATGATGACACTAGGTCTGCAAGTCCCAGAGTGAAAAGAGAGAAGTCAGGCCATCACCAATTACAGATTTTGCCACAAAATTGGCTTTAAAACCAAACCAGTGAATGCTCAAAGTCTATCATACACTGTTAATGCTATACCAAAATCCCTTGCTATGTACATATGCCATATATACAAGGGTAAATATTCAAGAAAGCATATCACGTTTTACTCAGGAATGCTCTAGCTTCCTTTAAAAAGCACCATCAAACTGACTAATAACAACCACCAAATCATGGTCTTGGGAAATTGGTCTCACCTCTGAGTATAAAGGAATATTACTGTACTACATCATCTTCTTTAACCTCAACCTATCAATATTACTGCAATACTTAATATAACACAAGAAAACAAGTGAAGTAGTATCTGAAGGACAGCCAGTATATGGAGTGAGGAAGTCTGAAAACGCACAAAGGACATACCAGCTATTTGTTTCTTTGCTCTTTCCCTTCTCTTATCCTATCAAAAAAATTCAAGGCTGATGACTTAAAAATCAATGGAGAGTCTTGCTTGAGTTCTTGCTCTGTGTTCTTAAATATTGACCATTCCTGATATATGTCAAAGTTACTCAAAGTTCTCCTCATGAAAAAAGAAATATAGATGTCACAGAGAAAGATAAATTGCAACTATACTAGTCCTGTTTGGGATGGGCAAACTGGTAAGGCAATAACAATACAGCATTCACTCAGACAAACAAACAAGCAAATACACACAAAAAAAAAAATAATAAATAAAAAAAATAAATTAATTAATTAAAAAAATGCATTTTTGATGAGATCCAATTCCTCCTTTGAAGGAGTAATACTTGTTCTATGTTTTCTATTTTCCAATTTACTGTCACGACCCACTTATCCAATCAATTTCCCACTTAACATTCCATTTTAATGAATCCTAAGCAATAAAGCTTTCATCCTTATGCAAGACCCAGATATCAAGCAGACAGACCCCCACACACATACACACACGCACACGCACACGCACACGCACACGCACACGCACACGCACACGCACACGCACAATAACACAAATTACATTGCCAGTTTTTTTCTTCTTCTTCTTCTTCTTCTTTTTTTTTGTCAAAAACATGACAAGATGTACATAACTATGCATCTGCATCCACTACCTAAAGTTATTGTATTTTATATATACACAAATATATCAATTTATTTATGTCAGTGTTAATGCTGAAAGGTAAATATTACTGCATGCTACACACAATAAGCATAAGCAACAAAAGTATCATTGTGTTTATGTTTTCTTATTCAGTGTTAATCATAAGATGATAAACATAAATATTATTTGCTAATAATGCCTATGACTTTACAGTTTTACATTTTACTATAGTGTAGAGAGAAAAAAAAAAAAAGAAAAAAAAAATCTATGTTATCCTACTTGAATGATTATCTCAAATGGATTTTACATAAAGAAAAAAAAATTGGTATCAAAATGTTCTAAAAATTAACACCCAGCTTCTTAAACCCACTGATATCAAGAGAGCATGTACATACATCATAGGCACACTGTGACTTTGATTTGTTAGAGTTTACAAAGATGGCTCCACAGTCCCCGGTGAGTTAATTAATAACCTACCTGATCACACCCATTAACCCTTTTCATCAAAATATTAATTTTGTAGCTATTGTAGCTATCAATCTATATATAACATTATAATAATCATAATGTCAATAATAGTAACAAAATTTACAATAATGATAGTAATATTAGAAAAAAAAAATAAATAAATAAAAATAATTTACAAAGATGGCTCCACAGTCCCCGGTGAGTTAATTAATAACCTACCTGATCACACCCATTAACCCTTTTCATCAAAATATTAATTTTGTAGCTATTGTAGCTATCAATCTATATATAACATTATAATAATCATAATGTCAATAATAGTAACAAAATTTACAATAATGATAGTAATATTAGAAAAAAAAAAATCTATGTTATCCTACTTGAATGATTATCTCAAATGGATTTTACATAAAGAAAAAAAAATTGGTATCAAAATGTTCTAAAAATTAACACCCAGCTTCTTAAACCCACTGATATCAAGAGAGCATGTACATACATCATAGGCACACTGTGACTTTGATTTGTTAGAGTTTACAAAGATGGCTCCACAGTCCCCGGTGAGTTAATTAATAACCTACCTGATCACACCCATTAACCCTTTTCATCAAAATATTAATTTTGTAGCTATTGTAGCTATCAATCTATATATAACATTATAATAATCATAATGTATAAATAAATAAAAGAATGGTGTATTTAGATACAGTCAGGCATGCCTACTAACTGCCTCTTTGGTGAATGGGCCTTTGTGGAGATATCTATGTGTAAACAAAATTCACAAAATAAAAACTACGGTAGAGAGTGGATATCCCTAGCACCAGGGGTTTAAGAATAACTAGGAATACCTGAGAGCTTATTTTTCACCTCTCACAGCAATGCAAGATAAAAGGTAAGCTTCAACTGCAATTAACTTCAGTGTTTCTAGCAGGTATTGAAGACATTGTTGATACAGGCTTCTTTAGGCTTTACAATGCAACTGATGATACTAGATGCTGGATACTCTACCTAATACTGGAGCTTGTATGTGGGGGCCAGAGCCAGTGCTATTGGGACGTTGAGGCAGCACGA